GTCGCCGCCCGCCTCCTGCGCCCCGCTCCGCGTGCTCTCGGCCGGTCCGAGCTCCCCTCCCGGGGGTCACCACGCCTTCGGTGCAGAACCACTTTGCTGGGGCTCCGGCCTGCAGGCGGCGGCCCTGGGACCTCCTGGACCCCCAAATCATGAGAGGCACTTTCTGTGGTAAATCTTCATAGTGATACATGATGGATGGACGGATGGACGGATGGATGAATGGATAGATGATTGATAGATAGACAGATAGACAGATAGATAGATAGACAGATAGATAGATAGATAGATAGATAGACAGATAATATATGATAATGATAGATAGCTAGGTAGATGATAGATAGATGGTAGATAGACGATAGATATAGATCAATGGATAGATGGATAGATGATTGATAGATGATAGGTAGATAGGTAGATGATAGATAGATAGATAGATAGATAGATAGATAGATAGATAGATAGATAGATAGATAGATAGATAGATAGATAGATAGATAGATAGATAGATAGATAGATAGATAGATAGATAGATAGATAGATAGATAGATGGGTGGGTAGGTAGGTAGGTAGATAATAGATAGAAAGGTGAGTGGGCAGGTGAGTGGGCAGGTGAGTGGGTGGGTAGGTAGGTAGGTAGATAATAGATAGAAAGGTGAGTGGGCAGGTGAGAGATATGCTTATGTCTGTAAGTGTCTATGTGATATTTGTATACTATATTATTTTAATCAAATTTTGGTTGATTGAAATATTTCTAGACTTCAGAATTTTTAAATACCCATTTCCAGGCTCGTATATGACTATTTATGGTTTGGGGGTTTTTCAGTATTAAAATATCATGAAATTATAAAATTATCCTATGTTGCCAGAATCATAAAACATAATAATAATACAAAAAAGAAAACAAAGACCCTTGCCCCTGTATCCCTTTACTCTCACAGACCACTCCTAGCCTGAGGTAACCTTAGCTGTCTTTTCACCTTTGTGTGGTATTCAGCTCAGGTTTAGGATGAGTCCACTTATTTCAATGCATCTGATAGTTCTTAATATTATTTTGTAGCCATTTGGTGATAGAAACATGCCACGTGTCTCAAGGTTCTATCTTACTTAGTGAGTGTAAAGTACAAAATTTATACTCAAAAATGTGTCTTTATATTTCTGGAAGCCCTATGAAAAGCTCTGTCATCAGATATGTAGAATATTTGAAGAAATAAGTTCATATGTTTTAAGTTTTTCCATTAAGGACATCATAGAAAATAAAAAGACTAACCCCTCCCATGGCCTGAATTTGGAGCATGTTCTAAAAGAGAAATGTTTTAAAATGTTTGATCTCATCTTTCATAACCTCTGTGGTTAGTAATGTTACTCAACCAGTCCAGAATAAGATATATCTTTCTTACCATTTCTAAGTAAACTTGTTCTGTACTCTTTTATATTAGCAGTTTATATATTTTAAAATATTTTTAGATAAAAGATGAAAGATAAAAAAAAATCCCTCAGTGTCCTCAGGGGGTGAGCTGGTGGGCAGGTCCCCGAGGACTCTGCTATGGCCCAGGGCCAGCGTGTCTGCATAGCCCCGAGGCGAGGCCCCCTACTGTTCCTCCCAGGTGACAGCCAGCTGCCCCTGTGGGTTTCCGCCCATCGGGACAGGGACCTAAGAGCAGCAAACCCGGAAGCAGGCATTCCCGGGCTGGGCAGCTGCTCTGCGTGCTCCGGGTAGGACCCTCTGCACCCACGGCTGCCATCACGTCACCACCCGATTTCAAGACACCCCCCGGCGGGGCGCAGCTCACGGCGGAGAAGCTGAGTCGGGCGGACAGCTGGAGGGGGGGTCGCCGGGTCCCCGCGGGCGTCCACGTTCGCCCTCACTGGCCGGCAGCAAATCGTCTTCCGCGGGCTCGTCCGTCCACACGCTCCCGTCACCCCGATCGCCACACAGATTTACAACTTCCGACCGTCCGGTGGGCGTTACGAGGTATGGCGCTACGGCTTTAATCGCGTGTTAACCGGGTTTTCGTGTTTCCCGGCCATTTCTGTCCCCCGTTCTGTGCAACGCCTGTCGTGCCCGCGCCCCCTTTCGTGTGGGAGCCCGTGTCTTGCTGACCCGTGGGGAAGGAAGCGCCCTGACCCCCTCGTCTGCCTGAACGCGCTCAGTAGAAATTGTCCGTTGCTCACGCGTGCGGTCAACAGTGTCCCCTAATCTGTGGCTTGCCTTTCACGTCCTTTATTGTGACTTCTGGTGAGCAAGTGCTCGTTGGTTGGTTTTCACCTTTTCATGACAATTTTCACACAGAAAAGAGGCAGAAAGACTAAGGTGACGAACGCGCACAGAGGCGCCGTGACGGCTGATTTTTTGTGTCGCCTCCGCCAGGCCTGGCTGCCCAGCCGTCCGGTCAAACACCGGCCTGGTCGTCCCGTGCAGGTGTTTTGTGGGTGCGGAGCCGGTCCCAGCGGAAGGCACCGCCTTGGGCCTCGGCCGTCTGCACCGCCGTGGGCCTCGGCCGCTCAGCGGACGGCCTTCCGAGCCAGGCCTGAGTTCCCGAAAAAGGGCTTCGACCTCAAGGCTGCAACGTAAAACCCCTTCCTGAGTTTCCCACCTGCCCACCTTCCCTGCGGAGTTCGGATTTGTCCCCACGATGGATGAGCCGGTTCCTTAAATTCTCCCTCTGCATCTCTGTCACCCGTTCTCCCTCTACCTTGCTCCCCCCCCCGCCCTCCGCACACACACACTTACTTTAAGAAACGTATACGTGCGGGTTTCCTAAATTACAGACATCGTAACACTTTGACCCCAAATAAATAGTCCATCACGTTCAGCATTTATCTCCAAAACACGGAAGACAGTCCCCGACAAAACCACAAGCCCATTGTCACACCCAGCAAAGCTAACAAGAAGCCCCTGACCATACGGAACACATAATCCACTCTCCATCGTCCCCAAGTCCCCGAAGGGCTTTGACAGCTGGCTTGCTCACGCCGAGTGGGTCTCTTTAGTTTTCCCTAACTTAGAACCTAGAAGTAATTCTAGATTCACAACAGCCTCGCACCCCACTTTTCCTGTAACTGGAGGTTGGCACTAAGGCCCGGCCAGATGGGCGTTCGGCCACCTTGGGCCGGAAGCTGCACAGGTGAGGCACGCTTCTCCCCGCCGCCCGCATCTGGAGCACAGGGGGCCTGCGTGTCCCCCGCCAACGAGGCCGCTTGCCTGCGGGTGACAGCCAGGTCCCCCCACTGCGAAGTTAC